TTACTCTGTATTTGAACATCACAATTATGTAGGTACATATATCATGTTAAAATGTTAAAATAGTTACTTGAAATGTAAGTCTAAATACAGCGTTTCACAAACTTTTCTTTCAGCCACGCCATATATTTTACATGAGTAAAATCCCACGTTGCACCACCAAACAGAAAAAAAAAACATGATCACGTCAGATTCCTACTGGAGAAGGTGCTCACACTTGTTTAAAGTATGGATACTTACCAGGCCATGATCTTAAAGTAAGATACGTCTTCCTCGGGGGGCTGCACTACTTTGCAAGACACACAGAAGAAAGCAGGTGTTTTGTCAAGAGGCTGTTTACAGGTCCAGCAGCTCACTCTTGCCAGACTTGTACAGTAATCCAGTGTGTTTTGGACTGATTAATGTTGTAAGTCAGTCAAGTGTCCTTCAGCGGTGGTCTGCTGTTCCTATTACAGTGCTGTGTGTCCTTAGTGGGGAAGCTGGTTGACAAACAGACTTTAGAAACACACATACGGTTCCTCAGCAGCAGGAGTGCCCGTGTCGAGCTGACGACACGTAAAGAGTTCACGGCCAGCATTTCTGAAAAATATATAAATAATAAATAAATAATATATAGCTTATAGCAACACTAAAAACAATAGATCCTTCAGTTAAACCACCCACACCTCTGTATAATCTCCACACAGTCGAAGAAGAAGGAGGCGGGGATGACTGGGTTTTTCTTCGTGTGTTTTACTTCAGCAGCCTGACACCAGCCGCGGAGGACTCATGCTGCCTTCACGTGCTGCTCGGGAGAGCGGAGCTGTAGCCAGACCTAGGACTGCGTAGTGTTTTTACTAGTTGAAAAGTAAATAAACAAATAAAAAATAAAACAGAGAGTCGCATTGGTTCAAGATGACAAAATTGTGGCTAAAGGTTGTGGACTAATTTGAATTCTAAAAAAAAGCAATAACTGTGTCTCTTAAACCACAAGCATTTACATAACACCAACGATTTGATTCTGAGCACCAACATCAAATATAAAATGTACAATGACAGCTAATGAAGTAAGGTTCAAGAAACACAATGGTGCACACCGCTATTTTACCGCATGTTAATATAAGGAGATGACAAAATAATCTCTGGTTTCTAGACATCGTGAAATCCTATTTACCATAATTCCGATAGCACACGAAGGCAGAGTCATAAAACAACAGCTAACATTAGCTATGAGTAGCAGCAAACACATTTTTTTTTCTCTACGACTTTGGTGAAAACATAATTGGATTTCAATCGCGTGCTACCAAACCGCTGTAGGTTGAACACCGCGTTGTTTTATTTTAAACAGATTTAAAAATTTCAAACGTTACCGCTAGATATGATATAAACTTCCACTGGTCAGCAAGTAACCCTTTAGCTTTCTAGCTAACAACTTAGCCCATTTTGCTATCGCTTTTAAAAATAGGCTTTTGGCTTAAGCTTACGCATTAAGACGTACCTTTTTTATTCTGGCTGTTGATGGCGTGTTATGTCGATGCCTTTTAAGTAATATATCTAAAAGAACGTAGTATTAACTATAAGTGGAATTGCATTTCTGGCACCAAGCATATGACAAAGACATGCTGTGCTACTTTAAGGATAGGTTTTGTGTTCATTTTATCGATACTTTATATCCAATGGGTTATGAGGTAATTAGATCTCCTTTACGCAATTGTGGTAAATAACGTACTGTATTCTCCCTCTGATTTTCTCAGGTTCTCTCTAACTTCATGGCAAAGATTTGGGAAATGGTTGGTGAAGAGTTTTGGAGACATAGAGTGGCTGGTCCACCAGGGACGACATCAGGCACTGCAGTACAGATAACACATTAAAACAGGTGAGTGTTATAGTTGATGAATTATATTTGAAGAAGTCCTCCAGTCGTATGTGTTCAATGCCTTTCTGAACTCAGGCCAGTCTGATTGTGATCATTGGCAGGCAATCAGACAAGGCGTCTGGACTTGCTTTTTTCAGTTTCCTCATACCTGGCCGTGATGAGTGTTAACTGGTGAATGTTTGTGTTTGGGGCGGTGATACTCAGGGTGCAAAACATGATGCAGGAGCATTCTAGAGACAGTGGTTGGAGACAGCACTGTCTGAAAGGTAAACAGGATCTCCTCCTGAAGGTCGAGGGTGGTGCTTCTGAAGGCCCCCACAGACAATACTCTGGGTATTATTAACGGAAATGGCTAAGAATAGAGCGCGGGGAGCAAGGTGGCTCCTCAGGCAGTCCTGTTGTTTGGGCTAAGCCAAAACGGAACATCGTCTGGAGAAGAGTGACTTCTCCAGCTTACGTGCTGGGTGTGTCACACTTGCTCAGGGCAAGTGGTTGAATTGGATGCCTTCATCTGGCTCTAATGTATGGAGATTCCTGGCAAAGAAAGTTGTGAATTCCTCTCAACTTCTAATGTATGGCTCAGTTGCATTTTTCAGTGTGGATTTGTAAGTAGAACTATATTTCTAGAACATTAAGAACAACAACATTATATCAGCTTGGATCAAGCACAGGTTATGTACTGTAATGTAATGTTATGTGTGTTTAGAAGTTGTTTTTCTTTCATATTAACTTTGACAAAAGTGTGGTGCTGTGTGGGGTTACATAGAATTATGTTGGTGAAGAAATTCCATTTCAGTTTTTTTACATTATTATTTATGTTTGGGGATATTACTATTACAGTTAATTAAATGTAAAAATAAACAAATACAATACATACGTATGTGGATATGTACAAATTTGTATATAGATAAACACAATTATGTATATGTAAATATATTTTATGCTGTATATAGAGAGATAAAGCCACAGCTGTATAAACTCTAAAGATATTTTAATAATAATTATTATTATTATGATTCACATACACAAAAGCACCATTTTATTTCTGCTTCTGCAGTAAGGTGAATAACTTATTTTTCAGTCCACTGCAGAAATCTTTTAACAATTAGCATCAGGGGTGTGCATAACAACACTAAATTTAATTTACATTCCATTTTGTTCTCTATAATTTCTTGGTAACTGTGTCATCATAACAGCACAACAACCTAATCACAATGAATCACCTGCCTTTTTATTTGTAACAGAAAACTCCTCCTCGCCCTCTCCTCTATTAAAAATCCAAATTCTCCTCCTCCACAGATAAATCATGATTCCCATCACGGAGCTGCGGTACTTTGTGGACACACAACCAGCCTACCGCATCCTGAAACCATGGTGGGACGTGTTCACCGACTACATCTCCATTGTTATGCTCATGATTTCTGTGTTTGGGGGGACCCTGCAGGTCACCCAGGACAAGATGATCTGCCTACCCTGCAAGTGGGTGGTCAACAACACCTGCAAGAAGAACTTCAACACCAACACATCTGCATCACTGTATGTGGAGCACAAAGGGATTCAGTATAACCTGGACCGCCACCAGTACAACTACGTGGATGCAGTATGCTACGAGAACAAACTGCACTGGTTTGCCAAGTATTTTCCCTACTTAGTGTTACTACACACGCTTATATTCCTTGCGTGCAGCAACTTTTGGTTTAAATTTCCCAGAACTAGTTCTAAACTAGAGCACTTTGTATCCATCCTGTTGAAATGTTTCAACTCCCCGTGGACAACGAGGGCACTGTCGGAGACGGTGGTGGAAGAGAGTGACCCAAAACCATTAAAAATGAATGGCTCAGTGGACCACAAGGAGTCGGTCATCAGCGATGATGTTGAAGCCAGTGTTCCGATGCTGCAGAGAACAAAGACACGCCTTGAGCAGGGCATCGTTGATAGAACAGAGACAGGAGTTTTGGACAAAAAAGAGGGCGAACAGGCAAAAGCCCTGTTTGAAAAAGTCAAGAAGTTCCGTATACACGTGGAGGAAGGGGACATTGTGTACAGACTGTACATTCGCCAAACAATTATCAAGGTTATTACGTTTATTTTGATCATCTGCTACACAGGGTATTATGTGCATGACATTAAATTCAGCGTGGACTGTTCAGTGAACATTGAGAACCTGACCGGCTACAACCTGTACCGCTGTGCTCATCCCTTGGCGACACTTTTTAAAATCTTAGCCTGTTTCTACATTAGCTTAGTCGTGGTCTACGGTTTGATTTGCATGTACACTCTCTGCTGGATGCTGCGACGTTCTCTTAAGAAGTACTCCTTCGAGTCCATACGAGAAGAGAGCAGCTACAGTGACATACCCGATGTGAAGAATGACTTTGCCTTCATGTTGCACATGATCGATCAGTATGACCCGCTGTACTCCAAGCGTTTTGCAGTATTCCTCTCAGAAGTTAGCGAGAATAAGCTAAGGCAACTAAACCTGAACAATGAGTGGACGTTAGATAAGCTGAGACAGAGGATAACAAACAACTCTGAGGATAAGTTGGAATTGCACCTTTTCATGCTTAGCGGCATTCCCGACACTGTGTTTGACTTGATGGAGCTGGAGGTTCTCAAACTGGAGCTCATCCCAGACATCACCATCCCACCAATCATTGCTCAGTTGGTCAACCTTCAAGAAATGTGGCTTTACCACACACCAGCAAAAATCGAAGCTCCAGCGTTGGCTTTACACACCAGCAAAAATCGAAGCTCCAGCATTGGCAAATCTGCGTGAGAACTTGAAGTCCTTACACATCAAGTTCACAGACATCAAGGAGATTCCCTTGTGGATATACAGTTTGATGAACCTGAGTGAGCTTCACCTGACGGGGAACCTCAGTGCTAAGAACAACCGTTATATTGTCATAGATGGGCTCCGAGAACTTAAGAGGCTCAAGATTCTTCGACTGAAGAGCAACCTGACCAAGCTACCTCAGGTGGTAACGGACGTGGGCATGCACCTGCAGAGGCTCTCCATCAATAATGAAGGAACCAAGCTGATGGTCCTCAATAGCTTAAAGAAGATGGTGAACCTGACAGAGCTGGAGCTCATCCGCTGCGATCTAGAACGGATACCACACTCAATCTTCAGCTTGCACAACTTGCAGGAGATCGACCTTAAGGACAACAATCTGAAAACCATTGAGGAGATTATAAGCTTCCAACACCTTTGTCGGCTGATTTGCCTTAAGCTCTGGTACAACCACATTGCCTACATTCCTATCCAGATCGGCACACTGAACAACCTGGAGAAGCTGTACCTGAACAGGAACAAAATCGGGAAGATTCCCAGCCAGTTGTTTTATTGCCAAAAGCTGCGATTTCTGGACCTGAGCCATAACAACCTCACCTACATCCCAACGGACATTGGCTTCCTACAGAATCTTCAGTATCT